GGGTATCTGCTACAATCACAGAATATCACAGAGCAAAACTTCAAAGCGGAAATTGCAAGAATGGGGAAAAGAGCTCACCGTAGGTAATTTCTAAAGATGGTAAAAGTATGTGCATTGCCGGAGTTTCCATTTGTATGGTGGTACAAAGTTACTGGCCGCAGGCGGTTACGTGTAACAGACCGAACAACTACCAGCATACTTAGATAAATTAGACTGGTTAAACCAAACATCCCTTGAAATGAGTTTGAAGGAACAGAATACATTCTTGGGGCACAAGCACCGTGAAGTGGTGGAAATTATACTCGGTAAATTATTGGGTTAGAAGATGCAGCGACCAATAAATCCCATTCTTGAGAAATGCTGACAGATAATGTTTCAACTTTCATAGAGTCTCTGGATGCGGGTGCACTGTAAGTGTATTTACTGATGCCTACGTTGCAGATGTTCTACACCATTATGACAGTTGAACTTTGGTCAACCAGACTTAATTGTCTACTTTGCTAGTCCATATAAATAAGATTTTTCCCACCAGTTTAAAACCGTGAGTTGGTTAAACAGCCCATTTTCTAACTCTAGAGCACCATGTGCGTGATGCACAAACTGAACTTCCTTAAACGAATGTTCTTGCTTTCTCAAACATAAAAAGTGCGCGTCAACATTCGATCGATTGTCATGTAAACACTTGCCACAGGTTCGCGTTTTCGGGTCGGACAGGATTCACTTCATGGAGACATTGACAACGGCCGACTTGGCTGAACTGCCCGCCGGAAGTGGTACGCTGTCCGTTTACCTGAACGATCGTGGCGGTATTCTGGATGACGTTATCATTAACGTGTGCAAAGAACCGTACCTTTATGTGGTCTCCAATGCCGCTTGCGCCGAGAAGATAACCAATCTCCTCAAGGTTACTATTGTATACCACTATACCCAGTGCTATGTTTCAGGAAAAACGCGAACATTTTACGAAGCTGGGTAGAGATGTGCAACTTGATTTTATGACAGACCGGGCTCTACTAGCCGTCCAGGGTGAGTTTAACATGTTGAAGGTTGATTGACGATCATCTAAATGCAGACTGATAGAGAGAAATAGCTACATCCACGCTATCCAGCAAGTTGAATTTGGACACGCCATTAACAGACATTAGTAAACGCTTGTGCCATACGAATTTTACTACCAAAGAACCAACCCAAAAATCGGCAAACCTTCATGTTTATAAACATCCTCCCACAGAGGAGATGAGGTTGTCCTAGACAGGAATGAAGTCTGCGAATAATAACGCCAGGGAGCTCTCAGAACTATATATTTTTATATCTCTGTTTACACATCACGTTGTAAATCAACTTAGCAAATCAATATGTATTTACGTGGCGCGGTTTTTGTGTATTTTGAACAGATTGTGCCACTGTAGCGCGCGCACCCCCTTGAACCACCGTCATATAACATCCTGAATGTATCAGTGGTCTAACCTGAGTGTACCGTTACTGAAACCCTAACAACGCCTTCACCCCCGTAGTTCTATTGCTTTGTAAATGAAACGTATCATGTCGAGACGCCATTGTGCATACGTATTCCCCATGCTTAGCAGATCTTCTACTGTAAAAGTTGCCCTTAACTTATCCTTACTTTACAGGCCCAGAGGCCCATGAGACCATCAAAAAGGGTATCACAGCTACCGAAAGAACTACTTTTGAGGATATCTACTTCATGGAAACCGCACTATTCTCTTCCATTTTTGGGTTGAAAGCTGATGGGCTGCCAATACGAATCACTAGATGTGGATACACTGGAGAAGATGGTTACGAGATCAAAGTGCCCGCCGAGTTGAGTGTAGATTTAGCCAATTGGCTAACTGTGTTTACAAATGTTAAGCCAGTAGGTCTGGCTGCCAGGGATACGCTGCGTCTGGAAGCAGGAATGTGTCTCTATGGAAACGATCTATTTGAAGAAAGGACCCCGGTAGAATCCTCTCTTGGCTGGCTCATTGGTAAGCATAATAGGACACATCCGGTTTGAGCTATGCCGGTGCTGTTGTGACTTCCTTCACAGTTGAAGCATGTGTCGTAGCTTAACAGCTCAGAGTTGTTTTCACAAACATTTTGGTAAAACCCACATTACGTGCAGGAAAAAGCGTTTATCTTCAACTAAATATGGATCTTTCAGTATAGGATTGAAATGCATCTCAGCACAGATTGAGGTTGAAGAACGTTCCTGCTATCAATCTTTGGCATAATTCTACCACTTCTTCTTCTATACTTGTGTTAATACTTTGCACTCTTACAAATTAAGCAAGACAAACCAACCGAGATGTAAAAGCCTGGTAAAAGCAGCAACATCAGGCCTTGATCTATTGCCTGGCTTCAAGCTAGTGAACTCCGTCACGAATCCTGGTTAAACTAAATAGTCTAATCTACCAGTGTTCCACGAGAATTAAGAAGCACAATATTCCGTTAGATAAGTTTTTCCTTAGCAACTACTGGGGACACCCGTAGTTTTGAGTGTGGATGGGACTGTCGAATCATTCTCCATGCTTGAAGAGTTGTTTGGCATACTAGCTTGAAACCTAGTAGTTGATACTGGTTAAACTATATTTGTGAAATCAGTCCTGTTCTGTTTTTCCAACCATATTACCTGTATTCGAGACCACTACTACTGTTTTGTTCATAACTGTCATCGAAGTACTACGATCTCATCAAAACGGGTTGTCCCGTTCAACTCTCAGTGCCTTTCTTACCAGAATTGTGCATTTACATTGGTTCGCCTACCGGAAATATGTTCCTTTGTTTGCTTGACAACGAAGTGTCGGCATGACGCACATACTTGGTAGTACATCTGTATTACATCCACAGAACCGCCAGTAACCACTAATGAACTGTGTACACTATATTCCTAACTTGTCGCTTGCTTGACAAGCTGGTATGTACTAAGTGCTGTTTAGTATTTGTAGGGGGTTACCGTATTTCTCGAAAAGTCCTCTGAATCGTACCTACGGCAGTCAGTTGGGGCAAGACTTCTCGGTCTACTCAACAACCTCGACCGATCATGTACTGAACCAATTGTCTAACCAACCGCAGATGTTCTGCTCACCCTCCCTCCTTGTGTGCTTACACTGCAATCTGTTCAACTCTCCATGCTCTTATAAGCTTTGTCCAGTGGTTCACATTCACTCAGAAGTTCAGGCTCTCCACACTTTAAAAACAATTAAACCGTTTGTTTGTGTCAATTGCAAAAGATGAGTGATACACCTGATTTGGTGTCGCTGTCTCCAGAGCGTTGTCAGATTCCCTGAATGAATTGTACGGGTCGTCCATCTTGACTATGGTCCTGTGGCTTCCACATATATGCTACACGTTCATCCCTGCCGCACTCTGTTGTTGGACTATCAGTGATTGGTCATCGTGGCTTTGATAAAAGCCTCACACCGATGCTTTGTACTGTACAAAGCAAAGTGCATCTTTGTCTTCTACCTACCTGCTTGGAACCGCGGATTTAACGGCTCCATTCTTCCCCCACCACCCGTATAATTGAAGCCCACTGTTGAAGCCAATGTACTGGAATTTTGAATGATTGTAGTTTTGTACGTTTGCTCCAACTGTAAATTTTGTAATAATGTCGTAGCTATTGCGGCCTGTATTTGTTCCGATTTCAGATTCATTGGATACGTGTACCCCAACGTTTTACCGGTGAATGTTATAGTATTTATTTTCAACTGTAATTGATGTGCGGTGCACATGAATGGCCGCAATCAACCCACTTTCTTTGCTTTTGTAAGTAGCTCCTGTGCAGAACGTACATGGGGTTAACGAGGTTTCGCAGACGTGGGAGTTGAACACACTACGGCGTAATCCACCATACAAATAGGTACTGCATTAGCGGAACTGGTGGAACACAGGGATTTCCTTATGAATATTTGCTTAATAGTAGAAAAAGAAATAATTGGGAGACTAAGAACTATTACCATTTCGTACTACATAGATGCTTCGAGCAACGTACCGAATAGAGTGCTGTGAAACCTACGCTGATTTATTCAAATTCATTAAGGCATTCAGTTTACTTTCACTCGCCAGATGCTTAGAGTTGAATGTGGAAAAACCATACGTTCAGCTTTATTCCGAATTAATTAATTTCTTTCATATATCGGTTTCAGAAATTCAGTCCATCAAATTGTCCGTAAGAAGTAACTGTCGACCCGCAAACCATTAAGCCACACACTCTGTCTCTCTCTAGTCCTCCGTCTTACCTTTGAGTTTTCCATCGTTTTGTATTGGAGTACTGATGTCTGGTTGTCTAAACATGCTCCTTGAATCCGACTTTCGTCCTTACCTTTGTTGTCGTTATGTGACACTCAAAGTACCCACGTACATAGCAGTTCATTTTTACATTGGTCTATTGTTACAGGAAAGCGGAGACGTTCATCACCATCTCAACGTCCGTTCCCCGGTTCGGAACTCGTATTAAACCAGTTAAACAACCCGCGTACTCTGACGCATAAACGGATCGGACTAGCCAGTAATCTTGGCCCTCCAGCGAGGAGTAAGTCGTTGCACGTTTAACGCTGTGCTTCACGATTCTTTCCAAATATTCGTCAGTAAGATGACGGGAAACCTGTTCACCTTCTGACCTACGGAATCGCCTATCGTGTCTTGGGATGAATAGGCACCATTTGTCTTCCTAACTGGCTGAATCTACACTTGACCCCATGGAGATTTGGATTTGCTTACGGCGTCTGTTTCTTCTCCGTTAAAACTGCCCGTCGACTGAACATGTCAGATTCTCTACCTTCGCTGATAAGTTCAAGATACGGTGGGCCACTGAGACAGTAGATGGTTGCACAACAGTGCAAGGTGACCTTGATATAGCTTACATGCGGTCGAGTTGCATGAGAAATGGTGAGCGGAAGCTATCGGAGCGGTTGAGGTTAACAACCAGGAATGATTGCATGTGGTGGACCTAAATATTTGCGCAATATTAGAAAGTAGTCTAATACGAGTGTTAGGTCAAACAGTTTCACAGACCTTGCTTTAATTCTGACAAGCATGCTTGCGGTGTCATATTAACTGCGCTCACCGTGTCTGCCAGCTTTACTTTCCTAGGGTTTCCTAAGCTGGGGAATAAAATGTGTGCTAGTGCTATCCTTCAGCTCTTCCTGATGCTAAATGTATTTCAGAGTACCATTGGATCTAACACAGGAACACAAATCCCTGATAAGCCCGAAGTTCACGTGCCATCCCCTGCCAAAGCGCAAGTGCAACGTCAGGTCAACTGACTAATGCCTGCAACATTTGAAGTAACATGATCACTTTACTTGTCGTTGCTACTTCTCCAAATTCTTGCTCATCGAAGACTGGCTAGCTTGCCGAACTACCTCGCCGTGGTGCCAGCTGGGTGATTCGGGTGTACCCCATTCCAACGAAGTGTTCCGCGATAATGTTCTACCCCTGTGGGGCATTGTAGTTCAACAGTTCCGCTGCTTTCATGGGAAGCATTGGGCCGCCGTTTGGTGATCTGCCAAACAAAGACGCATGAACTAAACATTCAGTCAGCGACTCCCAATGGGCGCGATTACCTGAATTCACTCCGCTGCATTGCGGGTAGTTTATTTAGCCAAAGGCTCGGGTGGGGTCCCTTAAGTCAACTCCCTACTTCGGCTTGGGCAACCGGGTAGTATCACACCCTCTCACAAAACCATGGACTGTACTACAACACGCTCATCAGCCATCGCTTCTACTTCACACATTTATGCGACTTCATCACACGCCAGTTGTTTGTTTGCTAGCAATCCGTTACCCGATTCAAGTGTTCAAAAATCTGGCTGCGATTCCGGTTGCGCCACGAACCACGGAGTTTAACCTATGCATCTCCTTCTTCCTCAATCCTCGTTCCGTCTGGCGTGATTCAACGTCCGGACACTCATGCAGGTTGGACAGCAATCCGGTCTAGCCCCGCACCCTAGAGTCCCTCGATATTGATGTCTGCTGCCTTTCAGAAACCCGGTTGCAAGATTCCAGCACTTTGTTTACATTAACATCCCTACTGACCACGAAGCCAGATAACATCTGCGTCTTTCTGAAGATCCAGAAACAGCCTCAGCGGGTTTGGCTGGTGTAGGTATAGCACTAAGTGGCAAGGCTGAGGTGGCACTACTGGACTGGTTCCCGATTAACAGCCGACTGTGTGCAGTTCGGCTTCGGGGTTCATGTAGAATCAACGCGCGCCGCGAGGAGAGACTCAACTTGTTTGTGATCTCCGTATACGCTCCAATTGACTGCAGTGGCGGCTCGGTCAAGAACGAATTTTACCGGGATCTACATCAGCTCTTGACTAATGCTAAAATGTTGTATGTCCTTGTCCTTGGTAGGGATTTTAATGCACGGGTTGGCCGCCTGTTGCCATACGAACGCCACCTTATTGGTCACCACGCGCTCGAGGAGAACCGCTTTGATAACGGAGAGAGGCTTCTCACATTGTGCGAAGATAACCATCTGTTTCTCTCGAGCACTAACTTCAGGCCTATGAAGAAGCATTCCGCAACCTTGTAACTTCTTCGCTAACACAACCGTGGTCTCAAATTGATCACATTGCAATTAGCTTCAGATGGCGCGGCAGCGTACTGGGTTGTAGGTCCTTTTGGTGCACTTTCCTTGACTCAGATCACGTACTGGTCTGCGCGAAAACTTGTATGTGTTTTGAGGGTCCCGAGACACGTAGCACCGCAAGATTGATGTAAACAGACTAACTGATTCCTCTGTCCAGGCAACCTATCAGTCTTCACTAGCATAACCACTCAGTTGGCATCCACTGCAAGGTGCGGAGCAACACTGGACTTGTATACAAAAGCGATGACTACTTCCGGACAGTCAAGCTGCGGCGTAGTTTGACGCCCCTTAACGGCTTGAATCTCTGCTCGTTCTCTGGTGCTGTTCGAACGCCGCAAACATATACCGGCGGAATCAGATTGCAACGAGCGGCGCCGTTTAGCCAATCGGCTGCTCAAGCAAAGCCTACGCAAGGATCGCGAGGCATGATGGTCTAAGCGTGCTTCAGTGATGAAGACTGGTGCCCTCTCTGGCAAGACTCGCAAGCTTTTCTAACTCGCTCGGTCTACTGGCCTCAGGAAGCTTGGTGTCAGTGAGGTCATTTGAGAGGTGGATGAGTCTCCGATCACCAACCAACAGAGGCGTATGGACCGTTGGGTCGAGCACTTTCACTCGCAGTTCAACTGGCATCCACCATCCATCAGTACATGCAGTGCACCTTGTTGTCCACCCTAACTCGTCCCACTGAATCCACCCAGCGAAGCGGAAGTCTGCCTCGAGTTTCGACGCTTGAAGTGGTTCAAGACTGCCGGCTCAGAGAGACTGATTCTGGAGCTGTTCAAGTACTGTTATGTGGCGATCATTAACCAGCTGACCGCGCTGTTCGCAAAAATCTGGCATAAAGAGCAAGTGTCTTCTTCTTGGGACAAGCCAGTTATTGTCCCGATTTTCAAGAAAGGCGCTCGCACTTCATGTGCCAATCATCGCAGGATTAGTCTTATTCCGGTTGCCTCGAAGCTGTTGACATCTATTCTGCTCCGTAGACTATCTCCAATACGTGAATCATCCTACCGTGAAGAACAAGCCGGGTTCCGTCCCGGCCACGGATGCGTGGATCAAATCTTCACGCTCCGCCAGCTCCTCGAACATCAACACATTTATCACAGACCCACTATCGTTGCATTCCTAGACACAGGTGTCGCTTTTGGCTCAGTTGATCGACCTGGTTTATGGGGATACTTGCCTAAATAACGAGGTGCCAGAGAAATATACCGCCATCTTACGAGCACTTCACCTTCATACATCCGGCAGAGTGAGGGTCTATGGCAAGCTTTCCTCGTAATTCGCTATCAATAGCAGTGTGTGACAACGCTGCCCTATGTCCCTATTCCTCTTCAACTTCGCAATCGAAGACGTTCTGTCGAATGCTCCAGAAGGTTTCCAACATTTTGGCCTAGAGCTTCTACCGGATGAGCGCGCGACCAACTTAGATTCTGCTGATGATATCGCCTTACTTGGTGACGAGCTTCAGGGTACGCAACTCCTTCTGGATCGTTTGGTGGTTAGAGCATCTAACTATGGCATGAGCTTCACGCCATCGGACTGTAAAGTACTGCTCAAGAATTGGCTTTCACCTGCTCCAGTGCTCACTCTGGAAGGTGCACAGCTTGAGCAGGTAGATAGTTTCCTCTACCTTGGGAGCTGCGTTTCTGCTGACGGCACTATCAGCAAAGAATTTGCTCTTCGCATCGCTAAAGCCCGATCAGCGTTTGCCAGCCTGAGGCACTTGTGGCGTCGTCGCGACGTCTCATTCTCTCTAAAGGGTCGCGTTTACAGCGCATCTGTTCTTTCAGTGTTGTGTGGAACGAGTCCTGTTCGATTCGCGTGGAAGACATGCATCATCTTTCTGCCTTCGATAAGGAGGATTGCTTGTGTTTGGTGGCAACACCGAGTTAACAGTAATGACGTTCGACGAATGCGAGTATTCTCTTCAACAAACTAGTTTTGCTGCGCCAGTTGAGATGCTTCGGTGACGTCCTATGCATGGCACCTGAGTGTCCACCGCGTCGCGCTCTATCCGCTCGTCAAGAACCTGGCTGGAGGCGACCGCGTGGTGGTCAGTCTTCCACATGGCGACAGCACATGAAATCTCTGACGTCGTGTCTAGCCGCTTCTGAATCCGTACGTCTTCCAGGATGGGGACCCAAAAATGAGGAGTGCTAATGGCCTAACACTCTTGAAGACATGGTCCGCAACCGGAATCAGTGGGAGAATTGTGTACATTTTATTGATTCACATGTTTAATACTTCAAACATTGAAACTGACAAAAATGAGAAAAATCGGCTTGTGAAAAGCAAACTGAAATCGTTTTGTGCTGCTTTTTGTCAAAAGGTTCTTTTCTTCCTACGGCATATTTTCTGAAGTGTGTTGCTTACCTTCAACTACTATGCCACGATGATTATGACGCGATGACTGTCCCTTATCCGCTAATCTCCATGGTCTTTTTGTTGGCTCTGTGTCTAGTTGTTAGACTGCTGAGATTACGTGCGTACATCGACGACTGAAGGCTTCCACGGCAACGGACGAGTATGCCACAGCAACTGCTTTGTTCGCGGAACGAGCAGACTTGACTGACTTATCGTAGGTAGACACACGAATGTAAACTGGTGGTGTCCCAACTTGAACGGCTCTCCCCCATGCCGTCTTTTTAATACACATCTATAAATATTACACCGGAGAAGTACAAGTTCATGTTGCGTAATTACTGCAACTCTTCCCCTCGTACACCATTTGTCTGCTCGCCCATTTTTGGATCGAGACCCTTCACCATGTAAGATACCAAACGTGGCGCACAAATAACTTACCACACTGTTAAGGATAAAAGCTTGCTGCATTTTCCGCCTTGCTCTGTCATTGAAGTAGCCTTATAACATGGATTGTAGCTCCAAAATTCTGAGTGTGCTGAAGGATAGGACGTGAGTTGCTTACCTACTTCGCTGTGTTTAATACTGTCTGGCTAATGAAGCACTTCAGAGTAAGACGGTCAGAATTCCAACATCCAGTTTCTGTTAGTCTACCATTCTGTGCCGTGTATTGATGACTTTGTGAGTTCATGCGACACAAAATTTGTACCCCTGGCAATGTGTTCAGTGCACACTCTGGTTCAGTCAAGTTACGTCACAAATCGGCTTTTATGCACCTATAGCCAGTGAATTTGTTTAAAACACAGCTAAATGTTTATTAGAAACCCCAAGTAAAAATGCAGCATGGCACAATTGACTGAATTAAGAATACCGATTTTCTGCTTATTTTTGGGCCAAATACCCTCTGTAATTAATTTACAGTCACCTTTGGCAACAACAAGTTGCACTAGCTGTGTACTTGCTCTTCGGATACAGTGAGATTTTTTAGTTATTGTCGGTTTCTCTCGTATAGCAACTATGCTTTTTTTCATTTTATGAACTTGTGTCATGGGATACTAAGCTGCATTGCAAGTTTCCTTGAGATTTACTTCCGTTTCTGTCAATCTGCTGTTTATTAGCCGGCGCTAAACTCTACGTCCAAGGTGAAACCACGCCGATTGGGGAAGTAACCAGCGGGTGCTATTCACCAACCCTTAGACGAAACATTGCCATGGCCTATGTGAAACCTGATTTTGCGAATCCGGGACAACAGCTGCATGCGGAAATACGAGAGAAGCACTTTCCTTTCATCGTGACAGCCCTCCCATTTGTGCCGAATCGCTTTGTGAGACGTCCGACAAAACGGGACTCTGTCAGGGTTGCCTGAGTGCATCTGACCTACACTTCCCTGATGGATTGGTTTATATTGCTGATATATTTAAGCCCATCTCCGGTTGATTATTTAATAGACTACAATACCAGATCTATAAATTTTTAATTTTTACATCCACATTTCAATCCTGAAATGAATACTGCTCCAACAACCCAATTTTTTCAAGTATTTCTTTATGCACTATGTAGCTTAAATTTTAACCCTTGGATTTTCCTTTACATTAACTGGTTTTCAACGTTGGTGGCTTCGAGTGCTAAATGCCGCCGTAGCCAGTTACACAGATTACGAATGGTGGAGTCGGTTTACTAGGTGAGACTACCATAAGTACCATATGCAATGTTCCTAATATATATCAGTTTGCCGATTAATACCTTAGCTCAGCAGTAGCCCACCACACTACGAAGCAACTGCTCTAACCAACATGACTTAATCAGGGCATATACTCAAACGGTTACTCAGGGGCCACGGTGAATGCAGCTTTATCAGGTACATTTTGTGTGTAACAGGGATGACAGTAAAAACAGCGAACAACACATTTTCATTATCATTACATTTGCTCGCTGTGGAACCGAAATATCGCAAAAGACTCGTGATGGCTTTACTTGTTCTTCTTATGTCTTATGCTGTTTACGAGTGAAAATTCAGTCGAAAATTTTCCAAGAGCTTTGATAACCTGACGACTAGACACTGGACGAAGAAGCTGTACGGTGCTATTGGGCTAGCACTCACAGTATGACAAAGCCACCGAAGTTACTATTTTACTCCGGGTGTGGATGGTCCTTCCGGGGAACTATTTAGGCAGCAGAAAATTAGCCACAGCGAGCTGATATACCTCATGACTAAATCCTTTCCGAATTAGCCGCTCATATTCGAGTTCTGAGTTTGCCTTTGGCTGCTCATTCAAAACAGTGACTGGTATTCACAGACTTCACTCCCATCGATCTCTTCATCTAATCACTAAAGAGCTTAGGTCGACTGCCCTCCTTAGACCATCCACCGCACACCAGCAGTTATCTTTGATTGTCGAGAAATAGTTTGTTTTGATTAACAACAGCTGATATCTATATCCTTCTCATCGCGTCTCACTAGCCGTTAGGATATGCGCACCTATCATATGATTTTGACGAACTGCATGTGGGCACGACAGATGCGCTACAACACGATGATAGTATGGTGATATAGTAGGCATCGAAAGAAACCTAGTAGGTGAAAAATTATTTTGGGGTACTTGAGCACCAACATGTGCTCGTCAATCATCACTTTACTGGTGTAGCTGCACTGACAATAAGAGTGTACTCAGAAACCTTAAAGCCGCCATCATTTTCCTCTAGAAATTCGACAGACGACACCGAAGCCTGCATCGTTTTTTAATGCGTGCAAAGACTTTCGGTTACTACAGAAACTGTTACAAGTGTCAACTGAATGGCCCTCTGTATTCCACAGCATCGTAATCTCCAATTAGAATAGCTTTTTAGGTATAGTTTTGTGCCTAATATTCGATGTGCAATAAAACCTTAAGTAAAATCTTTGGTGTGTTTCATCTTTAAGACCTCTGATTGAAGCTTATCAACAGAGGTGGTCCGCGAAGTGATATAAATCACCTAAATCCCTGCAGACGGTAGACCAAGCACTCACAAACACCATAAACGTGAGCATTACCTTTGGGGGCTTTGTAGTTTGTTACTACTAAACGTGTGCACAAACGTTGCGTCCCTTTATACATAAAAATGTAGTGCGTGACTATTTTAGAAATCGCGCTCTCTTCACACAGTTATGTGATAAGAAACGTACCGCACTTTCATCAAATTGTGGTGTTTTGCAAGGAGATATTTTAGGTAATCCAATGGAGAAAAACTCATCGGTTGCCTCGATAAACACACCGAAAGCGATATACATAGGTCCATTTTCTGTACCGAACACACGCGAGGAGAAGCAGCTTTCATTATCAACTCAAGTGGCGCCTTCTAAGCTGACCAAATTGCCAACAATATCTCTGAAACCGACATTCGCTTGACAGAACCATTTTGCGTTAACTCACGCGTGCACTAACGTTCCTAAGTCCAAATCTGGTACAGTAAAGGGCAAGTTGCTGCATAACCGCACCCATTAGAATTCCGTGTGCGACGCTATCAGTATTCAGTTTGCGCCCACTATTATGAGATGTGTGGCGCGTCACCTGACCAAATTGCACTATGATTAGCCACGTAGGCCTCGAATAACTCTGAACTCTGCGGCTGAGACAGAAACCACCCTGCTCGTAGTAATTCGCCTTCCCAAGTCACTGAGCGAGGTGCACATATTACCCGATCTTCCTACGAAACGTCGCACAAAGGAAGCAGATAAGCAAGGTGGTCTTCTTAATAGTGATGGTAAGAAAACCATATTTGTTCATAGCGTTCCCGAGCTTCCAGATTATCTGCTCACTGAGCGCAAACACAAACGAGGTCAGCGGTGCTACATCCGCGAAGCACTGTATCTGGACAATGTTATTGCCAAACAAATAAATAAATAGTTTATTCTCCACAGTACGAGGCACGCCTGTAAAGGCATGATCATGGTAATACCAACATGTATGAACGGTAATTGCACAGAAGAATTACAGATTAACCAGCAACATATGTGTAGCTATGCATGTAGTTGTTTGTGTGTATGTGCCTCATGATGAGGCTGATATGGCATTCATGATGCTTCTTCATCGCAGTTCGGCTAAACCAACATACACTTAAAGTAGGTCTTTTTAATGTGGATAAAATTCATTCCACTATTTAGTTTGTTATACGTAATCGATAATCTTCTCCTAACTTGCACACGTCGCTCATGTTAATTGTGGTAACCCTGTGTAACTTTATCACGTGGTAATTTTTAAAAAACTTTCGGACATTTTGTACTTATCACGAATTCGCTTATACTCAATTTACTCCATATGTTCATGTAGCGAGTATTTATGCCAGCACATACGTTACTTTCTTGGACATCTTTTATTTGATATCGGCATTTCTAATGATTGGCTGTTGTTTGACATCCCAGGTGTGGCTGCGTTTGATGTGCATGTTGACAAGATGCCTACCTGTCTATTACCTACTACCTCGTCCATACTGGCTCTAGGAGGCAGTTGGTCGTTGCTGGAGGGGACGGGGTGCACGGTCCATGTGGCCGTGTTAGGCTCGAAGAGTGGTTCCATGCAGTCAGTATGGAGCGGACTACGGTCCAGCCACCGTCTTGTGTGTGATTGATTCCCCAAATACAGCATGCTTGCGTTTGCCGGTGAAGGAGTGTGAGCCGGCTCCGTTGCTGAAACGTGGCTCCCATCTACATGCCTCCCGGTCTTATTCCTTCGGGTTTACATTGGAAATGGGGTGTGTGGATGGAGCTGTGGGTGGTGCAGCGCAAGCCATCCATGGTCCAGGTAAATCCGAACTTGGATGCCACTAACCATGTTTGTGTGTATGTGCAGGTAGTCATTTCGGCTGAGTCTCTGAATTTGTGGTTTTGCTCGCTGGATTCTCCATCGAAGTAGGATCAATGGATGACTTCGAATTGAATGACGTACATGATGTGTGTATGATCCTTCAGGAAGGCAAATAGCAGTGTCTTTGTTTAGGGGCGAGTCACGTTCGCCAAGTCGCAGTGTTGTTAGACAGATATTTGTGGTTTTTATGGGAAGTACACTTGCGAGGCGGAAACCCACCACATTCTGGAACACTGCCGCCGAATCATTTGCTGGAATAGGATTTATCCGAACCATCCAGCTGGCACCGCGAGGAGGTTGTTCGGCTAACCAGCTGAAGGCTGTGCTCTAAAATTAATGAAAGACCTGGTGATAACGGATACTGAGATAAATTTGCTCAATGTATCGCTGCTTCGGAATGTTAAAACTAAAAGTTGTGTTTGTGTAATCATGTATTGCAATCCAAACTTTGATGGAAAGTTGTTGGTCACCAAGAAATCCGCATCCTGGAATCGCTTTGGTGCGTGCTATGCTTAGAGAACAGGGATACACCTCTATTTGCTGTAATATACTTCCTGCCTAACTACGTCGGAAATGGACTCCAAACTGAACCACCTTTCATAAGTTGCTTTGAACAAGTCATACAGCCAAGTGGGGATCGCTGGGAAATTTACCGTTCATGATATGACACCAGTGACGGATAGTGCACACGTAAAAACTTGTTTTCTGGAGCTAATTTCCAGCTATCCTCTGTACCAACACGTAATTTCTCCAACCAGATTTACAATTGCGAACAGGCCGTCGATACTTGCTCTTGTGTTCAAAAACGAGGAACTCGTGGTCGTGCGTCGCAGTAATCATTATGCTCTAGTTCGACTACGAATGATTTCCGAAATATCCTGAAGAGGATGATACTGAAGTATATGCTCTCCCGCACTATAATATGTTATTCATGATTTTTAAGGAGACATCCTGAACATTCTTAACCTAATGCCCCCCAGACGTCACCTAGGAAACTTTCACAATAACGTCTAGCACTCTCGTAGCGCAAGCATGGGAACGGAAATCATTCTATCGTCAAATCAACTGCAAATCACTTCTGAGGAGCAGTAAACTGCATGTCCCAAAACCTAGACTGCATAGGAGACACCTAGTACTTTTTCTGCGCAATTAATCTGCTAGGACAAGGTGTCGCATCAGCGCAATTTAATAAAGCGATCCTATCTGAACCGCAAACTCCCATACAGGCACCTTAATGACCGCAAAGTGAACCGCGCAATCCTAGCACTGGCCACTGCTGATAAGCACGTGGTTAGCATTGGAAACAGCTGACCTCCTATGACCTCATTACTCCCACACTTTCTAGGAAGTAACCGGTCCAACTATTTTTGACTCCACCGTCAGGTTTATCTAGCATCCTCTTCATTACAGAAGCTGTGTTGAAGTTGTTATCCACAGTTCTCCTGTAGTTGATAACATCCAAACAAAGGCTTCACAACCAGTAGCCAGTGACCTAACAGCACCACTGGCAATTTTTCTGCTAGCGCTATCTAGAGGAGAACAAATTTCCACCAGTATGGAAGCAAGGAGTCATAAGTGCCATTCCTAAGAGAGTTAGTTGCCTTGACCCCCACTAGTTACCGCCCGATAACGCTGCTTCCTGTGCTTTCCTAAGTTCTAACATGAGCCTACTCAGTAAACATCAACACGGTTTTTTGAAAGGTAGGTCGTGCACTATCTGTTAGTTAGATTACCTTGATTATGTGACTA